AAGAGGTGAGGAATGCAACATATTATTATACTGAAAACATTGCATGAAGGAGGACTTGTCACAGACAGCATTCTATGAAAAAGGGCAGGATTTACACTGTGGAAAATAAAACTGATGCTGCAGCATGTGGGGAAAGTGAAATGAGTTATTTTTCCAAAATCTACAACCTGTCTTTCAAGGTTCTGAAAAATGAAAACCACTTTTGTGGTATTTGTGTCTCCCTGAATTATTGTGAAACTTTATACATGTAACGAACAGTTCTTTCCGGACCCTATGCGGACGACACAGTCCGACGGAGTGGGGAAACACTGGGGAAACGTCATGCAGGAAAACGGGGCTGAAGACAGGGGGGCATGTCCAAGGTGCGCTGGTGCACAGGGGAGGTGTGGCCGAGGCAAACAATCCAAAAGAGAAATCCTTAGAGTATCCAAAAACACATGAGTAAGTCCAAAACCAGGAGATCCATCAGAACAAAGAATTAAAAACCACGAAGGCCGGGTCGGAACCGGCGGACGGGGAACAGGAACGGGAACCGAGGTTAAAACCTTAATGGAAAACAGATGCAGAGCCCGGATGAGCGTCAGCGCCTGGCTTTTAAGGTGGGCTGGGAATAGGGAGCAGGTGCATAGAATAAAGTCACAAGTGAAAGGGCTGGAGCACCATTAAGGAGGGGGGACTATAATCGTGACAATACAACCACAATTCACAAGGAATAACAACACTCAAGAATCAGATGCCTCTGCAGATGTACTGTATTTTAAGTACTGTATACAGCAATGGCTTTTGGGTTAAGATGTTTGGTTAAGGGGCAGACCCCTGGCCAGAGGACAAGGAGGGTCAGTCCCCCATTCAGAATGAAGACTTACCCAAGTGGGTAAGGTAATGCAAAAATAGGAGTTTTCATATGATATATACAGTGTATAACTAACATCAGAAATTATTATGAATTAGAACAGCTAGAAAAAATTGGCTTATTTGTCATCATCCCTCCCAAACTGCAATTAAGAACTTCCATTTAATCTACTAATATGGATCACTTCATACATTTGTCACAACACATTTGTCACAACAATGCTCACATGGAATTAAGAAGACCACAAATCATATTTTTAAAACACTTAATGAAAACATGGTGTTCAATGAAATCAGCTTTCGATTAAAATAATGTAAATAAAATTAAGACTATATGTATCCAATACTTTCTTTTTACAAATAAACTTTAGAAACATTAAGGTACCGTCACAGTTCAAATATAGCTGACAAAAGTTAATTCCTATATTTCTTTGTTTCACAAAATACTTAGAAATGTCTTTCTGTTTCTCTATTTCAGGTACTGTATATCAGAAGTGTCACTAATCATTTTAAACTATGCACTTTTATGTTTCCACTGTATCTTTAAGCTTTCTACCCTTTCTGTTCTTTGATGTAACAAGGACAGTTCTAGACAAGGCTTCAGTTCAAGTAAGAAAAGCCTAAAGATCTTGAGGGGGGAAAAAGCATGGTTTTTAAAATTTATACACTTTCTAATGCCTTTGTTCTGAACTTGAACATCTTGAAGAAGTTTCTTCACTTCTTTCTTTGCTTTGAGGACCATATAGTCCATTTGTCCTCCTGGTTTCCAGGCTTATTAATATGTAACAGTGTCTTCACTACTCAGTTCCATGCTTTAACTGCATGCAGAGTCATGGCTGACCCTAGCTAATCAATTGGCAATCTATATGGGTTTGACTGATAAAAGAGCCTATTAGATTTAAGCAAATTAAGGGACAGCACCAATGTCACCAGCTTATTAATCAGTATGTTTTGGTTCTATGTGTCCGAAATACCAACAAGTGTCTCCAGGGAAACAAATACATACAGTACCAGCAGTTTGTGAAACACAAGGTTTTAATGTTCAGGTAGTAAGCACTACATGGGGGACAGATTATGTTAATAAACTCATCATGCAATTTAATTAAATTAATATCAAACTGAGTAAGGGTTCACAGCAGTATTTTGTATTTGTGAATATATTAAATAATTCAAATAACATTAAGTACATTAAGTTTAAGTACGTCTTGTTTTCTAAATGATTTTTTTCACTTAATTATTCTCAGTGTATTGTTTTATCTTTATCAGTTTTACTTTTCTTCAGTAATCAAGAAATCTCATTACTGTATATGGGAAACATCTTGAAATGAATGCATTCTAATGACCTCCCTCTACATTTTGATTTGTAACATAAATGTTACAGCGCTAAATAATTCTATTGGGGAGGACATGAGTAGGAAAAAACTGAAGGTCCAAAGAGTATTGACAAGCCAAATTCACAAACAGAGGTAGTTAAACCCTGCATGATAGAATGAAGAAAATCACTTTTGGGATTAGCTACGTGGTCCCATTGATCCTGCTGGAAGGAAGATGGGTCAGTGGCATATACAGAAAATGCATTTTGGCACAGCATGCAAAACACAGTATGGCCTAAAACTAGCTCAATAGAAAGCAAGTTAAGGCCTGGGGTGGCCTTTAGTTCTCAGCCATGGATCTTAATCCCTCTGTATGTATCTTTGTGATTGAACCTCCAAAAAATATTCTGAAAGTAAATCCCTTTAAAACAACATTGCAGCTCTTCCCAAAAACAATATCTTATTGCCTCTGCTATCATTTGGCACGCATTATAGCTCATTTATGAATGTCTTATATTTTTCAGCAGTGGTATGAAAGTACTTAGGATTCCTTTTATAACCTCCATGGCTAATTTCATTCAACTTAAACACACATACTCCGGCACATAGCACATGCTTTCCAATATGATTTTATGTGTAAATCAGCTTAATAAGTTTTCACACCATTAACTAAAAGGAAGCATGAACCACAGCCTATTTAACCAATGAGTTGTCACCTTTCATTTGCAAGGACGGTCATAAAAAGGCACATTTCAGAGCCATAAGAGTCATAATTAAAATCAACACCAATTTAACAATGTAAAATGTATGCCCTTAATGCTATCATAAACTTTGTGTTCCTTCTCCCCAGCTTGGAAGATATGTTTTTATTTTTTTCTTTAGCTACCATGAGCAGCCACTAAGAAAAGGGTTATGTCACAACAGACAATTTCTTAGTCTTTGTATTATACATACAGAAAATTACTGATCAAGATATTGTAGCAATCCTCCCTTATTTATCCTAGCTTTGACTGCATGTAAGGAAGGAGGGACAGGAGAGCAGAATCACAGGCTCACCAGTATTTCTTGTCTTTTAATGGTTAAGCAGTATGTGTGCTTATCATGGAGGAGGGTAGAAAGCTAGAAAAAGAGAACACAGAAGCAGCTAGCAAGTATGCGAGGTAGAAAGAGAAAGGAAACTTCCCCCATTCATACTGTATGTATAGTGAGGGAGAAATTAAATAATGCTGAAAGAATTAATTGTTTTAAAAGTCTGTAATTACAATAATTAAATCATTACCCTACACTGTAAAGTAATTAAACACACAATTAACATACACAGTAAATAATAATAATATCACCTGAGCACTTACCTTGTATAGCTGAAAACGCATCAGGCAATATGCACGATTTACCACACATGTGCAAAAGCAAAGCAAGACTGATGTGGAAAACAAAGCTCTAGTGGAGGCTGCATTACATTTGCTCTGCACTATTCATCCACAGAAGGAACTTGCTGCACTACCTTCTCTATATGCATGTAACATAAACTCTATTTACCAATGTTGAAATGTTACTGTAGTGACTATACAAATACTCCAGTGGTCTTTACATGCATGTCTATACATGGCAGTAAGGGCCACTGCACATTTTCCATACAGAACCTAACTGATAAAGGAGGCAAGGCCAGAAGTGAGTTTTACTGGGTTCTCTGATTAGAAAGGACAAATATACAGTAGTTACATTTCTAGAAATCTTTCAGAACTGTGACCTGGATCACAATGATCTGAAAAGTTAACATAGGACATCATAGCATGGAAAATAACATGTAATCATTATTATTTAAATTCTTTCTTCTAGGTAAATGGTAGCTTCACTGCTAGACCCTGGATAATTCAAATGGTTTAAGATTCGAAATGAAGTACAAAAGATAATGTAGTGTCTATCAAACATGGGACTTAACATTAAGCAGTTTGTTCAGTATACTCACAAATTGATATTCATAAAGGGACTAATTACCAAAAGATACATTTTTATATTTTTTCAATTACAATTTCATAAGCCTTTACTTTGGTAAATGCAAACTTTCCTCATAGATGCAATAGGGTTAAAGGTTGTTATTTCTGTTTATTTTGGGGTTTTTTTATAGTAAGAGGAGAAAAAAATAAAGGTATGGATGTGGAAAAGATATACTGTATGTATCCTCTTACTTATACAGCAGACAATCTGCTACTTTTCACACTGTAAACATAGCACAAATAAAAGAGCTAAGGTATCATATGTAGTGCAGATGTAGCTTGTTGATAACATTGCAAGCACATAGGTTCTAGCTATTTACAAGGCACAGAGTTGTGTGGCTTACCATGCAAGCTCTGACAAACTGAACTTCTCCCCATCCTTAAGCCTTGGCAATGCCAGCATGATTGTGCCAGCCTTCTGTGAGTTTCTCTTAAAACCAGTTACAAATATAAAGCCCAAAAATTCTGTAGGCTGTTGGTATTGCTGAGAGAAACACTCCTGCATCCTTTAACCACCTGCAGGAGGAGGGCCTGAGTCAATGACATAATCTGGTTTCTTCTGGAAAATATTTTACAGTGGCTCCCTCAGGGATGCTTTATTGTCATACATATAATCTGAAAGCTGTATATAAGAATGTGCTCTCAAATCTACTAGGAGAGCTGGTATTGAAGTAATAGTAAAACTAAATATAACTATATTGATAATCCCTCTGTAAAACCTTAACCTTAGGGTGTTAATTTAGAAAAAGAAAATCTTGGATAAATGCTTTCTCGTATAAAACATGTGAAAAATAGTTAAGCAAAACAGATTTTAGGAAAAAAAGAAAGTTCAACTTACCGCCAGGAGGTAGAGTTATTGTTGTAGGACTGCTTATTACACATCCCTGGCTGTTACAGGCATTAACCTGAATAGTGTAGTTAGAATAAGACACCAATCCACCAATGGACACCCATTCCCCTGCCTCTTCACTGCTGTGCAGAACTTTGGTATCAGTCTTCAAAGAGTAGTTTTCAGCTGTAAAATAAACACAAGCACTGGTAGTCCACTTACTGAGGATTCAGGCAAACGACAAGCTGAAACTGAAAAATGAACATTTGTTGTCTTGCATTAAGATATCACATTAATATTTCCTCTATTGAAAACAACAACAGTATAAATATTTGTTTAGAATGATCTAAGGAGAACAAATGGGATGACTGCCTTAGGATGATAGGCAAATACTATGTTTATGTGTCACACAATTTATTATCACTGTTGTTCGTATTTATACCAGTTGTGTGGTTAGGCCAGTAACAAGCGTTAGTTTGTTTGACAAAAATATTGTAACGCAACGGGGTTCAACATAAAGAAAACGAAAGAGCTAATAGTGGACTTTCGGAGACACAGGCCACACACTCACAGCCCACTCAGTATTGATGGAACGGAAGTGGAAACAGTCACCAGCTTTAGGTTTTTGGGAATTCACATCTCTAAAGATCTAACCTGGACTGTGAACACTGACTCTATCATGAAGAAGGCTCAGCAGCGCCTTTATTTCTTGAGGTGCCTCAAGCGATGGGGGATGCCAATACATGTGTTGGTGAACTTCTACCGCTGCACTATCGAGAGCGTCCTCACCAACGGGATCACCGTGTGGTATGGCAACACCTCTTCGCAAGAAAGAAAGGCACTGCAGAGAATGGTCAATATGGCCCAGAAGATCATCGGCTGCGGTCTCACCGAGATTAAACAGCTCTATGAGGACCGCTGCCGTGGTAGAATTCTGGCCATCACAGAGGACAGTCACCACCCAGGGCATGAGCTCTTCACCCCACTGCCCTCAGGCAAGAGATATAAGAGCATACGGACACTTACCACTAGATTCTTCAATAGCTTCTATACACAAGCAGTGAGACTGGCGAACACATTTAGCCATCCCCCTCGGACCACACCCACACCATCACCATGTACCTCATTGTAATTTATTTATTGTACGTCTCCAGTCATTGTTTACACGTCTGTATTGTTTACATTCAAACTGCCTGCATGTTTACTTGCACATTGTCTATTGTTTGTTTGTACATTGTCTTGATGCACTGTTTGCACTTTGTTTTGTTTTTTTACACTTGTTTTACAATCGATAGACTTTCTGTAAGTAAGAATTCCATTGTACCAGTACCAGTTACATATGGCAATAAAGTTCAAGTTCAAGTTCAGGTGGGAGCCCTTCCCGCATCAGGTCGGCCCCCACCGTTGGGAACTCAAACCCAGGACTGGCGTCACTCAACAGGGACCCAGCCTGGTGAGCTAAAGAGAGATCTCTCCACAGCCCAGTAGCTGTGGTCCTGCTATTACAGGGAAGGGCGGTGACGTCACCGCACTGGTAAGCCGGCTCTTACACAGTGCCTGTCGGCCGTATGTGTTACAATATTATGAATGGGGCTGATATGTGGGGCTAAACGTTTTATGTAGAGGTCTAACATTACAAGACCTTTAAATCTCATCATCTCAATCTACTAAATTAGGGGTTGTTATATCCTTAGATTTATCTATAAAGAAATCCATTTCTTTACTCAAGTTTGTTGTTTTTTTACTAAATGCCTGTGTTTACTAAGAATTATTACCAGTCACAGAACAAAAGACATGAATATGGTTTTTCAAAAACTGCAGTATATCTAAAAAATACTAATCACCCAGAATTCACAGAATTGTACTCTAACCCAACTCTATATGCTTGGCCACTGCCCTCATTTCTGACCTCTGAACATCAGACAAATGAAGGCAACTGTAACAGACTGAACTCTAAGCAGCTTCAGATAAGCAGAGATGATCCCAATAGCTGTTGCAAACTAGTAGATTTATTTAATAAAAATATCACAATGAAAACAAAATAACTTCTACACTGTAGTTTCATTGCAGTGCACCTACAGTATCTACATAAATGGGGACCTAGAATTGCTGGTGGTTATCCCATGCCTTCTTATCCACTTAACACCATAGAAATCAAGATAAACTCTGTCCAGATGAACCAATGTAGCCAGGATGTGGAATACCTACCTACTGTATACAGTATTTTTAGAAAATATGAGTAACTTTAAAGAGGTATTAGTTATTGTCAGCCTCTCTGTACCTCAAATTATCTGAACATAGATATATTTTTTATATTGCATTTATCTATACATAGATAAACAGATATAATTTTTGGTTTTATTTCTGGTTTATCTATAGTGTTGATTAAAAGTTTGTGAACAATCTTCTTGAATCAAAGCCAGTCTATATATACTGTAAATATTCAGTAGGGTTTATAGTAACCAATTTCATGTCTCTTGAAACAAAATGATGTACAGTATGAATTAAACAAACAATGTAAAGGGGACAGGGGATGTGAAAAGTGAAACAGTTTCCCCAGTTATAAGGTAATAATTAGAATCATGTGTTTAAATAATTAGGTAAATCTTACGTTCTGAGTTTGGAAGGCCCAAACCCATATCAAAATTGGAAATGTTTTGAGCTTGGTTTTCACGGAAACAAGTCATGCCACTATCTAAGGAAATTTCTAAGAACCTCAGAAAA